TCTCAACTTTCCCAAATTCTAATCCAGTAGGAACCATACCTAGGTGCTCTCTAGGAATTCGAATTTTTTTGCATCTAATTTCAATAGTGTATGCAGCTATCTAGCAACAACACAGTATCTGAGAGGTGGGCAAGACTGAACACCTGTACGCGGTGTCCTCTACGAACCTGGGAGCGAAGTATTCTCCCAGAGCCGAGATTCAGTCACGAAAAAGGGTGGGATGAATTTTAATTGATGGATTTTCGACTTGAAGCAGTTGCACTCGATATTTGGTCGAAAAATCAGTCGGCAGAGAATTCACAGCCGTAATAAAGTCGTTTAAAAACTTATCGCCACCAACATACGATTCAAGAAGCCGGCAAAGTCGAATTCTTCACCTTCCAGTGGTGCCGGTGTAATCGCTCGGTATGCTCTGCATGTCTGGGATAGCCAAGAAGAATCGCATCCTTCGCAACGGCAGCTTGCTGAGCGTGGCCCAGTCGATTTCGATTGACACATGGACTAGGTTCCGTTCCCGGCACGATAGATCAAAAGTTTAAGTTTGGATCTCTTCTATTCAGTCTTCTAACAACTTACCGATTGATTTCAACTGGGAGGACTCTACGACTCACCAACAACCCTCCAAAATCAAAGGTAAAATCCTTTCGCTTTCAACCTAACTAACATTGTGTGCAGGACTGGGCAATTGCTCGGCCTCATTTTAGACAAGCACCTCGACCGCGACATCAACATTCTCAACTTTTCAACATATTCCAAAGACGGCCCGAACGAAGAAGCCTCACTCAGACAACGAACAATGTACGACAAAAGCTGGGGCACCGATGCCTCGGTTTTGAGCTCTCTATTTCGGAATTTCAGCCCCCTCAAATGGGGGTTGAGCGCAATGCAGGGGAGAATTTAGGAAGAACGATATTTGATTTTCAACAGGCTGTTGGCACAGTTGGTCGGGTGCTGGATGTGCTTTCTAGAAGTGGTAGGTTGGATTCCTATACGGCCTGTTTAAGGGGGGACTACGGCTGCTCGTCGTGAAAGAGTACAAGAGGAATTATTGAGGGTTTTCCTCAATATATGGTCTTAGGATCATGGTGAATGCGTTCCTACCTATTCGACCCGATGTAACTAGCGTGAGGCACGTATTTGGAAAAGTCAGGCACCGGATGGGCTTTGCTGGAGAATGGAGGAACTTGTATTCTAGATTTCCTCCATGCGTGTCACTTCCATTGGATGGAGGGTGTAAGCCTGGCAGGATAAATAAAATCATCATCACACGATTCACGAATGGGTCTAGGTCTATTTGGGGGTCGTATTCAAACATCCGACATCTCTCAAACTGCTTATATATTTGGGACATAGCATTTCTAAGTCGATTCTACACCTGCGACCCACCTCCATACTCGTCACATCACCTACCTACACACGCCCTAATGAGGAAAGTCATGATGGAAACGGGACGTGTACAAAGGAGGAAGAAGAGGGAAGATACACCGAGGGGATAACACAAATCCCCAATGACGAAAACAACCCAACGGTACGATCTGAGGGTGCAAGGCTGGAGCAGTAATAAGATCTTGGACTACATTTATGTTTCGGAGTCAATGAGAATGACAATTGCACGTGATGACTGAGGCTGAGGAGGAATTTGCGCTACGGCGTTCATACAGCGGGTTTCTGGACGGTCGGGCTTGGTATGATTCAACACATAGGTGAAGTCTAAGGTGGTCCGGTCATTGAAGTGGGACGAGGTTTACCTGTACTTCACGGTAGTTAACCTGATCTGGCCCAGCTCTACTCATGCTTAATGTTAAACTATAAGATTGTTGATCAGGCACCATCCTCCCTGTGCCTTAAAATAATGGAGTTATGGTTGTGATTAGTGTTTACCTAAGAGTAAAATGGGTAAGGCGTTTGGAGATCTTATATACCCTGTATTAGTAGTTTCATATTAGCGTGTAGGCGAGGCTGGTAGACACATATTAGGAGCACAGTCGCAGTACTTTTCCTGTAGCGCTGAGCGAGCAGAGTAACATACATGTTCTGTTAACCCTGTACTCTATCAATTCTACTTCCAGTACTACTGTATTACCCGTCCAGAAGAATCATATTCTAATATTTAAGCCCCAGTAGGAATTTGATGGGTGACATGTAACTAGCACTTAAATTAACAAAACAAAGTAAAACAAAATCGCAGTAGCCGAGAATATTTAAATAATTTTAATATAAAATTAGAGTAATCATTTAGTGGATTTCATTTGCAAGCACCACTGCAAAGTTATGGTAGCCTTTTCTTCACCCAAAGTCAACCCTCATCCGTGAATACGCACCTAGGGGAACGTTTCAAAAACCTTGAGTTATCCAGACATGCCTCCACTATCCATTGACTTTTCTCCGCGCGAAATATGATCTAAGATGTCTCCTCCCTAAGTGGAGTAGGTGCCCAGGTTACTCGAACCATACCATAGAACACTACTAAGAGGCAGACTACGTCACCTTCCATCGTCGGCTTGTGTTTCAAATTTCAGCAGCCCTCTCTCTGTAGCAATACTCTTGCATACAGTACCCCAATCTGCTTGGAGTAAACTTAACACTGAAACTAATCAGGGAGGAGCTTTGGGTTAGTCATCAATTAGTCATAGAAGGAAAGGTGGTCAGAGCTGAAGTGGAAAACTTTTCCTGTGTAGAGTGCCTCTAGAAAGTAGTCTGGTGGGAGAGGTAGTAAGTATAGGTAATCTTAATATATTTTGATTTCATTTAGCGCGATTTGTCGCCCTATGGGCCCATGCAGGTGGCTACGAACTCTAATATTTACATAGGAGGAGACCTTGCGGTAATAACCCCCTTAGCTGTCTGACTTGACTCTGCGCGATTATAGTCTTACCTCTAGGAAGTGCACTATCACTGTTGTTGCTAGTGTGGATTCTATCCTTGTCCTGTGTATCCATTTTCCTCTCTTCGCCTGATTAACGCCTCGATTTCCCCGGTCATCCGAAACTGCTCTAGCCATACTTCCTTTTGAATCCATTGTGCAATTCTTGCCACATCTTTCACGTTATTTACCATAGCTTCGAAAGATCGAGTTGTCGATTTTCGTAGCAGCTCACCTCGTCCCTTTGCCCATCTTAGACAAGACATCACCATGTGCTTTATATTTTGGGACGGATATCCACATTGGCAGCATAGTTTTCCTACTCCTGGCACGTTCCTTCTGTACAAGTAAGCATTGAGCCCAATGTGCTCGCTTCTTACTTGTGTGGCAATGCTGCTCTGGGCCCTGCTAAGTTGTAATTTTAATATAATATATTGGTTAATTCGCCCCAAAGAAAACCTACAGAAGCTGTCGTTCTAAGATTCAGAAACAACGCTCTCAATGGAAGCCTTCGCGCCTCGAAGCTAAATTCAAGAAAATCTTTGCCGAAATTCAAAATTTCACGCCTATCAAGGCTCAATTCTTCCTTCGCATCATCTTATGAACTTGTCTTAATCTCTCTCACGTCCATCCCCAAGGACTGCCTCCTAGATTTGTGCGCCACGATTCTTATCCTCCTGCGGGTCTTCGTGTTATCTTGAGCGTATGTTTAGCGGTCAGCTGAGGCCAGAGAATAGTTGGTAAGAGGTATGGTCATGTAAATGAGGTTGAATCATGTCATACTTGTAAACTTGACGAGGCTTAGGTAGAATTCCAACTTGTTTCGAGAGAAATTTTTATTTTATAAAGTCATGGATCATTGCCTTATGAGCCAACTTCCATCGCACCGCAAAATTTTACTGAGCTCGGCTTTGCCAGAGTATTTCACTCCCAAGTTTATAGATAACACCGCTCATGGGTGTTCAGTCTTTGCCCTCCAATTCTGTATTCTTGCAATTTATACTATTTTTCAACAACCCATTATCGAAGACAAATTTTGTGCAGTACTGAAAGTTGAATTCGATAGAAATGTTTTCTCCCATATTTTGTGGTCCACATTAGCGAGGTTTCGAGCCTGTTGGGTTTACGTCCTCGAGTCAATATTTCAGCCATTCTTGGTACCTCATTGCTTACCCTACCACCTTCTGTTGTCCTTTGAGTATGTCTTCCTCAAACTCTTCTAATCAACGAGCTAGATCTACTCTACTACGAAGTGCTCAAATATCTTCCCTCTTTTCTGTGCAGTTTCATGTTACTATTTACAGATTAAACAATCTTTTGGACCGGTCGGTTCTACGGAGAGGTTAAATATGGAATACTCTTTTTCTGCTGGTTGATATCTATCGGCAAAATTGACAGCCTTTTACTTATGGAGTTGCCCTGGTCCTCGATAGCGTGAGTTTCGATATTCGGGCTCAAACTCCAATATCACGTGTCAAGCTTGATGAACTTCGGCTAGGCTGAACTCGCTTAAATAGATCATATTTAAAGGGATGTAAAATTCTCTTACAACACCGAAGATCCAACTCCTTCATTCTAATCATAAAAGGCACGGTGCAGGACACTTAGGCCTCCATAGATTCAAATGTCACATAGATAGCTTCCATAGCCTCAACTGTATCTATGGTGAGCCTCAACCCGTCTATCCTCAGTTGAAGCTGAGGATGACAGGCCCCGTCAAACTCCTCTACTTCGTCTACTGTGTCGACAGCTACACCAACGCAGGTCACTTTCGCCAAGCGGGCCGATGAGGTAAACTCTTGTAAAAGGTACGTTAACCAGTCTGAAATACAATTCCATATCAGTTTCGTGTTTTATGATGTTTTTATAATCAACTGGGAATCTCTCCTAATTTTCATGAGGAGAACGTAATCTGTTGTGTTTCTGAACCCTTCGTCTATATGTTATTGAGAACTATATTCTTGTACTAGCTCTAACTTCAAATAGCGACCTAAACGACATAATATTAGACTATCTCACAATCGAGGGATATCCATGTGCCGCAGAGAAATTCTCAAAAGAAGCTAATATAAAGCCTCGTCAGGTCGAGGAAGAAATTAGGTCACGACATGAAATCCAAAATCTAATCCACAGAGGGATGATACAAGAGGCCATCGAAGCATTGAACAATACAGATCCAGAGGTAAGAATGAAGAATATGATATAACTTTGCAATGATTAGACATGAGTTTCATGCACCACTCTTATTTCCCATCGGGTTTATGACGAGAAAATAACCTACTTTTACAATGAGCATCTCCATTTCTAAAATAAACATAGTACCTACGTAAGAAAGTCTAACTGTATTACATAGGTCCTCGACAGAAATCCTCCACTACACTTCGACCTTCTTCGACTTCAACTAATTGAGTTGATACGCGCACACAATTCTAATCCAATAGGTGATATAACACCAGCTCTCCAATTCGCTGCAGACCAACTTGCACCACGTGCACCAACTAACTCACGATTCATGGAAGATATGGAAAAGACTATGGCCCTTCTAGTGTTCCCCCCAGATAAGCTCGATTCAACCCTGGCAAACTTATTAGACCCATCTCTTCGGAAAGTTGTGGCCGAGAATGTCAATATGGCTATATTAGTGTCGCAGAAGAGCCGGAGAGAAGCAAGTATTAGGAGTCTTGTTCGACTCAGGGCATGGGCCGAGGAAAAAGCGAGATCACAGAAGATAGAGTTACCTCCCAGTTTGAAGCTAGAACTTGACGATAAGAAACAGGAGATTTGTCTCTCGGAACCGATGGCAATCTAACTACGTATAAACCTAAATAGAGGAAAACTAGTCCCCCCCAATTCTGCGTAGGCAAATTCACCAAGTGACTCTATTAGTGTCATGTGATTATCCGAATTAAGTCTCTAAGTCCTAAATATCTCGGTATTGGGAAAATAACTTTTAACGATCAACAGAGGTATAACCTCTGATCGTTATGATAAAGTTCATATGACATAAATGTCTCACAAAATCGGGCGCGCTCACTACGAAGTGGCTGAAAATGGTATCAAACTGAATAATTCTTGGTACAAATAAAGGTGACGTCCAGCTTAGCATTACCACTTCTATTTCGATATGTTGGCCTCGACAATTACAATTCTACCCCCTTGCCTCAACTACCGATCCAATACAACATATTAAAGCATCGAAACTAGTTAGATCAACTTAATCGTAAACCTATTCAACCCGAGTCTACCACATGAGCAGTTTATGACTGACTGAAAGTCAACATCTTCCTGCTTCAGCTGATCAATAACCTTTGACAAATGTTGCAACCACGATTAGCTGCGCAGTTTGTCCGAGCCCCATGGGCTGTCCGACATGTTCCAAAAAAATATTTATTTGGAACAACTAGGGCCCCCAAAACACGTAATCTAAATATATTGCAAAAGAGCGAGAAGAACTTCAAAGTTTCTCCACGACAAGAACTATCCATAAAAACCTTGACCGATCAATCCAAGATCATAGAAATTTGTTTTCGCTCGGCTGCGATCATCGGATTTTCTGTCACGTTAGTCGGGATAAGTGTGGTTATATTTTTTATATTTGATGCCTCGACCTATCACGAGGATTTATCACATACCGATATTCAAATTCCTGGATTAGCACTCAAGCCACGGAAAGGAGGGCCCAAAAATCTTCCCATAGCGGAGCTCCTAATAGATGATAATGATCGTAGCAACTATGAGAATCAAATTGACAAGCCAAGACTAGTTATCCTAGGTGGAGGTTGGGGAAGCGTTGCATTACTTAAGGCACTTAATCCCAATGATTATCATGTCACAGTGGTCTCCCCTCATAATTACTTTCTATTCACACCGATGTTACCATCTGCGACCGTGGGAACTCTTGAGTTCAGGTCTCTTGTCGAGCCGATACGACGGATCGTCAGTACAGTTCAAGGTCATTTTATAAGAGCATTAGCAGAGGACGTTGAATTCTCCGAAAAACTGATTGAATTATCCCAGAAAGACGAGAATGGCAATGAATATCGATTTTACCTACCTTACGACAAGTTAGTTATAGGTGTCGGCTCGAGCTCCAACACTCATGGTGTTAAAGGACTAGAAAACTGTCATCTATTGAAAGATATTGGTGATGCCCGGCACATAAAAAACCATATTTTAACTAACCTCGAATTTGCTTGCTTACCAACAACCTCTGATGAGGAAAGAAGACGATTACTTTCTTTCGTAATCTGCGGTGGAGGTCCAACAGGTGTGGAATTCGCCGCTGAACTGTCTGACTTACTGAATGATGATCTTACTTTGCATTTTCCCAGGCTTCTTCGAAACGAGGTTTCCGTCCACCTCATTCAAAGCCGTGGGCACATTTTAAATACATATGATGAAAAAATATCCAAGTATGCCGAGCAACGATTTGCCCGTGACCGGATTGAAATTCTTACTGATTCACGTGTGAAAGAAGTTCTACCAGATAAAATTATATTCTCGCAAAAGTGTGATGACGGGCAAATTGTTACAAAAGAGCTTCCAATGGGGTTTTGCCTGTGGTCAACGGGTGTCTCTCAGACTGAATTTGTTAAACGAATTTCCGCTTCTCTCGGCTCTGCCCAAACAAATCGACACGCTTTAGAAACAGATACTCATCTACGGCTTAACGGTGCCCCATTAGGAGATGTTTACGCAATTGGTGATTGCTCTACTGTGCAAAATAATATTACGGATCATATTGTCACTTTTCTTCGCACACTCGCTTGGAAAAAAGGCAAGGACCCAGAAAGGGTGCAGATAGACTATGACGAATGGCGTGACATTGCACATGCGGTAAGAAGGCGTTTTCCTCAAGCTGCAGTCCATTTGAAATATCTCAACAAGCTATTCAAGACCTATGATATTGATAAATCTGGGACGTTGGATTTCAGTGAGCTACAGCAACTTCTTCTTCAGATAGACAAAAAACTTACATCTCTCCCGGCCACCGCACAGCGTGCTCATCAACAAGGCCAGTACCTCGGTCGTAAATTCAACAAACTTGCCCGAGTATCTGCAGGACTAACATTAAATGGCACTATTTATGCAGATGTGGACGAAGCTGTCTATAAAGCGTTTGATTATCAACATTTGGGGAGTCTAGCTTACGTTGGTAATTCTGCGGTGTTTGATTTCGGAGGAGGGCGGAGCTTTACCGGTGGTTTATGGGCTGTTTATGCGTGGCGTAGCATTTACTTTGCGCAAAGTGTAAGCATGAGAACAAGGATATTACTGGCCATGGACTGGGCGAAGAGGGCACTCTTTGGCAGAGGTAAATCACCCATATTCCAGAAACCTTTTCTCTCACTCACAAAATTTAGATATGATGAATTGGTAGAATAAATCTAACGAATGCGGTTTGTTTGATTAAACCAAAATCAGATTTATTGGCCTCTACTCTCTTGAATAATTTGAATATTCCCTATGGTGGTGTTTTAGAGCCTATGTGATACATCGGTTAGAATTAGCTGTCATGTATTTATTGTTACCGCTCGCCTTTTACCCTTCAACAAAACATACTGCTAAATATTCAAATTCAGGTAGAATGGAAATATCTTGCTACTGGCTACTTGATGTATATACGTGTGTTCATTAACGTTCCGGGCAATTAGCATCCTCCGCACTTCTATGAGAGCCTGAGCACGAGTGGGGCCTCACCTAATCATGTTAACTATTTTTTGGAAATATTAACCTCGTCTCACCTGAATGCCTAGGCCACCTCAGACTTGACCCTCGTGTCGAACATCTCAAGTCTGACAGTCCAGGAGTCGTTTTGTTTATTGGATATCTCACCCAGTCACCTACCGAGGCCTCCTCCGTATGGCTTCCCTTTTAGTCCTCCATTGTAACATCTGCTTTATCCTCAAGCTGATATTGCCTTCTGAAATACTTTGTAGACTTTGTTTCCTTCCTGCCTAGTCTCAGCATTTCCTAATTTATGCCGCACCGCCAACTGTGGGGGCCACAAATGTGACTGAGAGCTCAAGACCGAGGCACAGATGCCACAGCTCCTGTCGAACGCACGCGTTATTGTACCTGCCAAATGCTGTAAATATCTCGTCGCCGGCGATTCGTCGCAGGCCGGCGTGAGTTCACATTTTAGCTCAGTAATTCGAGTTTACCTTTACAGTGGGGGACAGTTATGTAAAGTTAGAAACGCTCGAGATACTGTATGGCGATTATGATCTTTAGATTTACAGGATTGCTTCGGTAGGCCGCGAGACGAATCAACTGGGAATGATCTTGCGGGAAAACTGAAAAATTGAAAGGTTTTGTAATTTCATTGCGAACACCAGAAAGGGTTTAATTCATCCGTGGTACGTCCAGAAGATGTAAATCATTGGTTTCTATGAGTTGTACATTCGCGACATCTCTGCAGGTGGGATTCTTGACCAACATCTCGCCGCCGCCACTTTACATAACCCCCATTTCAACGGAAACACCCAAATTCTCTTTCTGTAGCGACCAAGTCCCGGCTCGCAGAGAATATTTCACTCCCAGGTTCGTAGGACACCACCGATAGGCACTCAGCCTTTATATTCCGCCTGCCAGAGGTAGTTTTCAAGGGGGAGTCTCCCGTAAGACCAAAGCGTCATACGTTTGGCATAACTTATTTATAATCGAAATATTTGGACACCCGGATGCAGTATTTCCGCTGATCAACGAATTTTTGCTACAGTATCTCGAGTCGATATTACCTGAGAATTTCGTGCATGAGTCTCTGCGACTCTCTTATTCATTGATAAAAATCTCACTCCGCAGGAAATCCGTGGCTCAGCTGAGCGTAGGATTACAACACTTTTAAGAAGTCCTAGTATTAGCAAACAACTCGTGTTAGCGGCCGGAATTGCCCTAAAACTTTGTTGCACGGACCGGTCAGAAGAGTTTGATGATAGTTCTAGCTGGGTACATCGGCCTAGATGGCGCATTTCTACGAGCAGAGAAAATTCTTTGCCGTTTGGTGGTGATTTTGTGACTGCCCAGTGTGCTCTGCTAATCTAGAAGCCAACGCGCATTGCATCTGATTCGAAGTCAAAAGCAAACACGAGCGGATCAGGGTTTGACGACTTCTCAACCAAGCCGGTCTCACCATCCTAGATTGAGTCCATAACGCCCATCGAACCATTTATCGTCTCGCCTTAACGAACGACAAAGAAGTTGCTCCTATTGCCAACGGGAGCTTGACCTATTAATTACCAGCCATCTCCTACTACAAATTACGACGCTACCTACAACCGCAAGAAGGAGACCAAGTCAAGGGCGCAAACCTTGGGATTTGGCTTGAAGAGGACCGTGCCTCTAACAAGGCTCTGCTCAACAAGACTGGAGCAACAATTGCGACATGGGATGAAAGAGATAAGGGGCCGCTCTTTAGTACGATTGGGCTTAGGTTTTGCGCGAGGGTATGGACCTTGAAATGTTAAGGGGCGTCAAGACTGAGATTTTGGCTAGTTAGCTAGAAAGGCTTCTATAGTTGATGAGTTAACGGCACTCCCCAGTAACCCAGACGGCACAACATAAGCCGGGACAGGCTACTATGCATCAAACACGCTCTGTCGAGACTTTTCTGACATTTCATCACGACCGTTGGGAAGGAGTTGGAAGAAGGCCAGAAAGGCAGAGTGTGAATTTCCCGAGGTACCCACAAGTCTGCAGCGCCCAGCTGGCCGGCCTCTTCGAACGCTTCAGAAGGGGCACTATGTCTTCGGATTTAATCCTAATTTTGCTATTGGAAGAGCCCCGCACTCAGTGGGGTTTGCGATTTTTCCCGGCTGCCATATACCCGCAGATGGCCATCGTTTCGTTGGCTGGAGAGGGGAGATAATGATGAGCAAAGGGCTCCTATAAGTGTATGATTGAATGAGGACTTGTGAGGGGTGGTACTGTTTGAGGGGAGCTGTATCGGAGGCATAGGAGGAAATATACCACTGGCACAGTAATCCTTGGCTTGTAGGTAGAGACGACCCGTATCTCATGTAATATTAGACTGAGAAAGGGCAGCAATATAATTAAAAAATGACTGCACTCAGTCTGACACGCCTTGCAGATGCCAGCGGCCCATTTTGAAGTTACTTTGGGAGTCTTAATAATCCACATATACCTCAAAATAGCCACTCAATTGTAAAGACATACAAATATTTTCTGTTCATGGTGAGGTCACGAGTAAATTACTTTCTTTGTATGGAGAGCGTTATTACCGATCATTCATAGACAAGGTCTCTCCAGGGTCGTAGGACTCTTCAGTGCCTAGTTATTTGCCCCTTCAATGTGCATCCAAAACTGAGTCTTGCTCTAGCAATGACTTGGCTCGGCATTATTAGCCTGATCTACCACCCTTTGTGCTCATGCAGGAGTCTACGAGTTCTAATATTTATATGGCATGAAACCACAACTTCCAAACTCTTCTCACCCTCTCATTCTAAATTTTGATTTGTGAAAAATTTTACCTTCGGAAGGCGCATTATCAAAGCAAAGACCAGGGAGGATTCCGTCTTATCATTCCCATATTTTATTCTAATTTTGTTTCTTTCTAGTACAGCTCCAACCTATTGGGAAAGTCGATGCTGCCCTACTCATCATTCGACCTGTCACTCATGATACGTCCGAGTCATATACTTGAGGCTGTTAATCATGGCCACGACTGACCCATCCTTGAATTTTCAAGAGGCTTCTTTCCCTTCTTATCGTTCAATTCGAGCTAATCATTGTCATGTGCTTCAAGTTTTGGAACGAATACTCATATCAAGATCTTGGATTGTCAACTCCGAGGTATTTTCTCCGAAATAAATGGGATCTAAGTCCGCGATAATTAGGTTACTAACGGTCATACTGTTATGAATGCAAGGTTATGGGAGGTGGAATAGTTACCGGTAAATAACTGCACGTTCACTGAGGCTTGAAGGTAGAGGTAGATTGTAATGAATTAGTAGACTTGCTTGCTTTCATTCAGGTCTAGAGAATCACTAGTTTTATATACATATACCACATTCTATGGCTTTCCATATCCCCAGTCGCTCAGTTCCATTCAGCTCTGAGTCATCACATTCTATTCCATCCTGTTCTATTCTATCTGACTCTGGTCTGTTCTGTTTTAACCATTAGATTCTACATCTCTAAGATCCACAATAACCAGATGCAGGGGTGGTTATGTCATCAATCACAACACAGACTTGTGGCATAGGTCAGAGAGGGGTCCGATGTGCCATATAGCTATGACCAAAGTAGTACACAATGAAATAAGTAAATAAATAATTCAATTATCCTGATTTGGCGCCTTAAGGCCTGTGCAGGATTTATCGGAAGAAATGGACTTTGAGTAGGACGACTCAATTTGATGTTTAGAACGCTCATACTTAGATTTCATTTGCAGATGCCACTCGAGTTTAACCCTCACGGCGTACAACATCTTCCGTGCATACCCACTACAGGAAAAATCGTGAAAATCCTGTGGCTATCCGAGTGTGTTTTCATCTACCCACAAGTACAATATCACCGCGGGAGAGAGTGATATATGGGCCTTACTGGATTCGAACCAGCTTTCTCCTGTCTCAAATTGGGTTGGTTTTCAAGTCACCCAGAAACTTCTTGGGAGAACGGCCCGAATGGTGTACCACTGCACCATCCAACCCAGTACATAGACACATACACAAAGGTTAGACTTCACTATATTTCATCAATCTCGGTCCGAACATTATCACGAAAGAACTCAACGTCACTAGGCGGTCACTATGGTTAAAAAATTTTATCGAGCGGCGTAATGATAGTCCTGAAAAACGTACATACTAAGGCAGCACAAAGTCTTTATGAGTCCATTTCTCTGTAGTCTTCCTCTTTGCTTTTTTGGCAAATGAGATGCGCCTTCTGCTCTCGAACTTACCGCGCATGAGCATGCTCCGATACCTATCACGCAATAAATTGCCCTCTGGCTTCAGTAGTCTCAAACTGTCCTGTAGCTCATCCGGCAGTACCAATTCAATATTTTTTTCTGGTAAACGAACCTTCCCCAACTTGCGTCGCCTCAACTCGAAATCTTCATCTGTACTGCTATGATCAACGACATCTTGTTGCTTATCATGGTTACGGTTTTCAAGTTCCCTAACAAGTTCCTTTATCTGAGCGACTTGTGAGTTTTTTTGCTTGATCTTTAAAGCTAGCTTTGCCTTTCTCTCTGCCTCTTTCCGGCGTTTAATCCGATTTCGCTGGGCCTGTGTTTTTCTCTGCGGTCGCTTAGATGATAGTTTAAAATTTTCCATATCACTGTCACAACCTTCCCATGTACTATCTTCTTCCCATTCAAGAAAGCTAGCTCTCGCCTCGGCCTTTTCAGCCTCAGCAGCTGACTTAGCTAGTGCCTCTTTTTGAACTCGCTCCGCCTCACAAATAGCATTACGGGCTCTCTCAGCCTCTACCTCTCTATTTCCGATCGCTTCAAGGCATTTTGTATATTCAGTGACCAAAGGGTTGTAGCTATACCCTCCGTGTGGTTTACTTATAGCCGGTAATTGTCTCCCGGAGGCAACTAAAGTGATAGGTTCATGGCTAAGGGTAACAGGTGCTACTTTTTTCCTTTTTTTCTCGAGAAAAGAAAACCTTTCGTCTAGAGTGTTTTCCACACAATTAGTTTCGCCGTTCCATATGTCGAAGTCAACTTCGGTTGGCTCATGTATGAAGTTATTAGATCGACCGTTAGCAATATCTCGAAGACGTGATAATTCTCTATGTGATACGTAGTAAGTTCGTTGCCGCTTTGGCTCGATGATTCCATTCGATATTTTTTCACTTGACCGTTTCTTTGAAGATACAACCGGGGTAAATGAGCGCTGAGCAATTATCTCATCGGCTTTGAGCGTTTTTGTACGGCTGGCGAATCTCTTTCTTACGGAGTTATCTCCATGTGTATCTACTCTAAATAACTCCTCAGATGCTTTTTCCGTAATTACTCCTCTATGAAGAATTGTTAGTTTGAGAATAATTTTGCTCATTAAATTCTCACCCGTGAATCAATTCTTTTCGCACTTGCTCGAGTCCGATGTGAATATCAGTAACGTCAACATTCTTTCTCCATGCCTTTTTCCCTTTCCTGGAAGGCTGTGTTGTTTGCTTGTTCACCACATGAAGTTTTGTCGCTTTCTGGGTAAGCGACATTTTTGTAATTGAAAAATTATGTCGGCTCTAATGGGTAGGCAGACTGGCGCGGACGGGTAAAATATTTATCATCAGGTCATCTAGACGCCAAGAGTTTGCATGGTTTAGCCGATGTCAACCTCATGATGGCAAGTGGCTCCATGTCCGCATTGGCCCTAACAAACCTCACGTCCCATTGTCAAAAGTTAACAACTAGAATCACCCATTCCTATCAGAAATTTCTGTGTCAGTCAAGAAGACTCGTTTGTCTCAAGTCTCCGTGCCTCCATAAAGCTAAAAAAAATCCCCGATAAACTTCCAAATGGCACAGGCGGGGGCATCATACAATAACCCATTAAAGAAGTACAAGTAGGTAAAGCTCTCAATCAACATAGATGGCATGATTTACTAATATAGAATAGACTAGTTTTTCTAGGCGAACAAAGTGGTGCGTCAACTTATTGTATACGACTTACTACATCATTGGCTGAGCGTCAGTGCAGTGGGGAAAACTTCTCTGATAACGAGATTTATGTACGATTCCTTCGATAATATGTATCAAGCCACGATAGGGATAGACTTTCTATCGAAAGTTAGTGCTATAAAATACTAATCTGAATGAGCCCTGCTTACCTGTCTGGCAGACAATGTATTTAGAAGATCGGACTGTCCGATTACAGCTATGGGATACGGCCGGGCAAGAAAGATTCCGAAGCTTGATACCCTCTTATATTCGTGATTCAAGCGTCGCAGTAGTTGTATTTGACATCTCAAGTATGCGCTCGAAAGTTACCTCAAAACCTGCTCGATAAGTATGCTGCTCACTCAGACTAGGCGCCAAATCATTCGAAAACACGCGAAAATGGGTCGACGATGTGCGAGGTGAACGTGGCAACGACGTCATTATAGTTCTCGTGGGCAACAAAACTGACTTAAATGATAAACGCGAAGTGACCACAGCACAAGGAGAAGAGGAGGCAAAGAAAAACAATCTAATGTTTATCGAGACAAGCGCTAAATTAGGACACAATGTCAAAAATCTTTTCCGAAGGATTGCGCAGGCACTACCTGGTATGGATACAGCAGAGGCAAATGTTGCTACAGGAAACCAAGGTATGGTTCATAAGAGAGCTTTGGAAGCGAACTAACAATACTAAGTCATCGATGTGAACATTAATCCGTCATCGACAAGCCAAGATGGGTGTGCTTGTTAGGGTTGTAAGACTGTGATAAATCCATGGTCTATAATTTTGCGGAATGTTAAAAGTGGCAGAGCGTTGTTAATCATTGGCATCATAGAAACTGTAAAATATCATCAAAGGTTTGGTTACGGCTGGCGCATGAATTGAATATTTAATGGGTTTGCTGGATGACACATGACAAGTTCTAGACTATGCAATATCATTTATGATTTGTGCTTTCTAGTGTTAGAGCTGTGATAAGACTCAAATTGAGGGTGTTTGCCAGATTAGAGCTCTATTTTTGTGTATTTTGTACACATATTCTATATCTATGAGACAACCAACACGCAATTTGTAAGTAATGCTACTTCTGTAATCTTTCCATGCCTTACCTTTTAGACGTAACAATTTTTAAACCTCAGGCAGAAATTAGTCCTGACATGCGCAAGTGATTTGTAGACAACAGACAAGCACCCGAGTCACTGCTCACTTGCTGCCTATGTCACAAATGAAAGGGGTTAAGTATCAGCTTTAAACCTGGGCTTAACAAAATAATAGTAACTTTGGGTCGCACTGAGAGATTTCTCGTTGAGAATTAACTCGACCAAGCGGGACAAGCAGCAAAGAACCAAACATGAACTCCTTGTCTCGATATTTGCGCATACCGCGCCCAACAGTATTCCTCCTCATCCAATCAAACAAATTTCAAATTTCACTAATCTACTCGCAGCGATTCCTCGCCATTCTGTCCCTCTGTACTGGCGTTGAGATGGTTTGCCTATCGATGATCTTTAATAAAATTACTGGATTTTATGGCCTACTTGCTATTCTCGCAGGCTTACGTTTTTCAATTCTTCAGCTTATAATGTACCTGTATTCGTGTATAACGCTCTTAATCGTTGTTCTACTTCTCGCTCATCTCCGAAAACAGTCACCCTTCCAATGCATTTTATTCGCCTACTTCTATGTCGTTGATACTATTGTCAGCACAGTATTTACCAGTGTCTGCGCTGCATCTTGGTTCCTCACTGTTAGGTTTGGAAATGAACTTCAAAAAACTACGGCAGGCAAGCATGGGGCATCCGGCTTCTCAAACATTGGCTACAACATGAGCGAAAACTCTGAGGATATTAAGCAATTATCTCGTGTAACAGCAGCACAGGAAGCGGTTGCATACGGGGTCGCTTCAGCGACTGCGAGCTCAGGTTCAGGATTCGAGGAGACAGTTCCTAGTATGGCCCTTGTCGTAGCCCTAACGCTTATACGATTCTACTTTGTGTTTGTAGTGCTAGCATATGCGCGACAGGTAATCCGCCTAAACTCATATGGGGCGAGCTTTACAAAGTTACACTTACATACAGATGGAAGCGCGGATGCCGTATCCGATGAAAATCCCTTCGCTGTCGGTTGTTTCGCCGGGGATGGTTGGAAGGGGAAAATGGGTCGGATTATGGTCAAAATTGGGGAGAGTTATTGGTTAGGTGAAAAGACACATCAAGAAAGCTGGGCCCAGCGTATTGACAGTCGGTTTCGGCCTTCCAAATTCGCTATAGGGCCGCCTGGTACTATTGAAAGGGAACGTAGAGCGAGAAGTGGCACAGGCCCACCAGCGCCTGCATCCATTCTTAAACTATAACTTAAAGACGGCTTTACATCGGTTGGGACAAGAATTTGTTAATTCAAATAGACTGGCAATAGTCCACGATGGTAAAATTAGCAAAGGGGAGGACAAGTTAGAAATCGGTCAATAAACTTCGGTATGACTGACACTTACTACCGTCTGAGAGTGACGGAAAGCCCCATATCTCCACCCAAACAAATGACATGTGCTGGGGTCAGGCGAAATGCTGTTTCGAGCATGAATAGCTAGTAAATGCACAAAGCTATCATTCACTCATACTTGTTTGATACAAAATTGTATCATACTTGTACAAAACCGGAAATTCAGCTATAACTGGACGCATCGACGAGAGTGCCAAATTGGAAGTATTTGCCGGTCTCCGTAAATCTCCTTTAAGAATTGTTAGTAAATTAGGTCTTTTTTGCAGTCCCAAACATGTAACTGGGTTTTACATGTACCACGAATGTCACAACACCAAGGTACTGCATTGTTTGTTTGACCTAGAATTAGCAGATCTATTATCAAGGTTGGAAGTACTTCTAGCGCTAAACCTCACCAGAAGTGCATAGTGGCACTGTATGTCCAGATCAGATGATGCCCTGACGTGTTTTGTTTTGTTTTGTTCACTAACGTGCTAGGTTACATGACTACCGTTGCACTCCTATTGGAGCTAAAGCACGTGTGGGGTTGGGCCGGATCAGGTTAACTACCGTGAAGTACAGATAAACCTCGTCCCACTTCAATGACCGGACCTCCTTAGACTTCACCTATGTGCTGAATCGTACCAAGCCCGACCGTCCAGAAACCCGCTGTATACATGCCGTAGCGCAATTTCCTCCTCAGCCTCGGCCACCACGCGCCCGAGCCCTTGACATCCTTATTGACTCCGAAATATAAATGCCGTCCAAGATCTCATCGTTGCTCTAGCCTTGCACCTTCATATCGTAACGTTAGGTTGTTTTCGTCATTGGGGATTTGTGTAATCCCCTCGGTGTATCTTCCCTTTTCTTCCTCTTTTGTACACGTCCCGTTTCCATCACGACTTTCCTCATTAGGGCGTGTGTAGGTAGGTGATCGGACGAGTATGGAGGTGGGTCGCAGGCGTAGGATCGACTGAGAAATGCTTCGTCGCAAATATAAAAGGAGTTTAGGAGATGTCGGATGTTTGAATACGATCCCCAGATAGACCTAGGCCCATTAGTGAATCGTATGTTGGTGGTGATGAGTTTTTGTTCGACGTTGTTCCGGCTTTGAAATCTCTGCCGGCTGATTTTTCGACTAAAATATCGAGTCCAACTCCTTCAAGTCGAAAATCCATCAATTTATATCCATCCCACCCTTTTTCGTGACTGAATCTCGGCTCTGGGAGAATATTTCACTCCCAGGTTCGTAGAGGACACCACTGACAGGTGTTCAGCCTTCGTCCTCCATGCCCTGACGTGTATCAATCGTGTTCTTATTTAAACTTGCATTAGCGTATTTGTAGGACTATGGAGTTTTTGGTTAGCTAATCAGATATCATCATTCTCTAAGACTCCAATTCTCAACAGGCATTCTATGATACAAACTACACGCTTGCTTTGGGTCCGAAGTCAAAGGTGATAATCTGAAAGCTCAGCACCATTAGGATTCATCCGCAGCTAAATTTTTGCATATGCGGAAATTGGGATAAGTGTAAACATCAAGAAAGTAAATCTGCCATATTTGATCTAAATGCCGTCTATTTGATCGTTGTATGAACAACATTTCGCTTACCCCTGACAACATATATCTTCCTCACGCGCAGCAAAATTCCGAAAGACATGATTAGGGTTATTACTTGATGTAACATTGGTTTGTCGAGACTTGAAGCATATGCTAGACGCTAAGGGGTAGATTGGATTAAACAATGAACAATGTGCATTAAAGTAGCTAGTATGCCATTGGGCCGAGACATGGCTTGGGCAATGTTTAGTCTAAAATACAAGATACGAATGGTTTAACCTTTGGTAAAATTTAGAGAGCCTCGATAGAAGGACCTTTTTTTGATGTTATCTAGATGCAATTAGTTTCGCTTTTTCTATTCAATTTGCATTGAATTACGGATGTGTACAGGGTACCTGTTGACTAACACACATCGTATTACCCTGTGCAGATGTTGAATTATAAATCATTACTTTATAAATCTAAATAATAAACAAGTATATATTACATTCGGTATTTGAATTTTTAGAAATCCCACATATCAAATAGAGAGCTTTCAAAAGAATTCGGAAGTTTCTGCAAAAATTAATACTAACAGAAGCACAGACCTTACTGGCCAATCGAATGCGAAATCTTATATGATTCTAAACTTTATAAGCTAGTGAAAAGTGTTGTATTTTGGATCAAAAGTGTATAACCTAGGATAGTTATTCCTTAAAAAAATGGGAGCTTTCCGTTTAGTGACAGTAAATGGAGGTCTTCGATGCATCAGCTGTTGAGTTTCAACTTTTTATCTATTGTGGATAGAGTAAGTATCAATTCTGATGATTGCAGTAGTTCATCCTTGATTCGGGGTAACCAAGAGTCTTTATTATTCTTGAAACTGTAGAACATATTTACTACATACCTTATGACTGGATACGCAATTATAACCAGAATTTTGCCATATCCTGAAGAAAACAGTTGGATCTCGTGTGACCTATAGAGTTTGAAACAAATATTTAAGATCTTTTACTTGGCTGGGTCCGGGAAAACATCTCGTGCCACTTTTTCACTTTCCTTACTTCCATATCTTGGTTCTCATTTAGTAATACTAGTTCAATTGTTTCCTGGCATTGCGCAACAACTGTCAAAGAGGGACTTGGTGGAAGATCTGAGGGCTTCTCAAGATTATTGACGGTGGAAATTTCAGAGGATTTAAGTAAGATATTTGGATTTGAAGTATTCTTTGAACGTAAGCTGTACTTGTGAGAGCCGTGACAAAGAATCGCTGTGTTTTGTTTGATGTTATAATTCAATGAATTATCAGTTGAGGTAGTATTAGATTTTAGAATAAGCCTAAATTGAAGAGTGAGTTGATGAAAAAATCAAGTAACAAATCCTACATGGGAGGAGTTTCGGCCTCAAGTGCGTCAAGTAATTCATTTGGTAACTCAATAATCTTGTATAGATATTGCCTATGACTGACACATAGCGTGATCCCAGGGTCAAGAGCTTGTGTTGACATGTTGAAATGAACACAACATCTAATTGTTGGTCGGCAATAGAGACAGGGTGTAGCGCATCGTTGTTGACTTATCTAAACTCAGGAGCCAATCAACGCGTGGGCGGGGACCAACTGGTAGTTACAATGCGGATTCACTTCCTGACAATAGGCTGCCGTTACCGAATACTGGCAGATATAGCGGGAATTTTGCAGCAGTAGATAACTATAACGACTTTCTTATTTGAATCATCACGTCTGTGTCTCTCGTAACAGCTCATTAAAGTCTCGATCATATGCAGTGAATCCGTCAATTTCTTCTCCCTGGACTTGACGTCGTCTTCCTAATCTGGATGTCCAGTCACCCTTGAATATTTTGAAATGGAAGGTAGCCATTTCGTCTTCTAATCTAACATTTATCACTCGGAACACTTTAAAAGTGGCATAATGGTTCGGGTCTCAGATGAGTTGCTACTGTCGCCCGATGATGTAACACCTTACTACACTACTGACATCTATCTGGGAAACCTACCTGTTCTAGTCTTTCATGGCCCTTCAACTATCACAAACTCAACATTGAATGGCTCAAGAATTCAGCTACATATTTTTACCGCCGCTGGTTTTCAAAGCTATCAACGCCTAACTATTTCACCAAGTTCGCCTAACTTCCAGTCTGTAACCCACTTACCGCGAGAAAAACAAGGCAATGAGGTATGCCGTGGTATCGCTTTTGGGATTTTGAAATACTTTAAGGAACTTTCCGAAAACGCGAAGCGTGCCATCGCCTATAGCCACACAGATTTTCGTGAAAAACGATCTAATGCTGCCTCTTTTCTATTCACTAAACAACATGCGGCCGATCTTGCAGGCTCAATGATCAAGGTGGAAAATGTTATAGAAGTCGTACAGGATATTCATGCGGCGCTTCGGCCGCAGAATATCAATCATATTGATGTGGATCTAGTTTTACCCCCAGGATCTATAAAGCCTATCCAGGATGTAGAAGAAGAGATGGATATAGATGATAACATTTCGGAATTATCTCTGAAGCAATATGGAGATTATGCACCTCTAGTAAAGCTATTCGGCGAAGTGACGTTCCTGCCAACCTCAAGGCTGCGAAGGGCGCCGTCTCGAGCAACTTCTATTAATCGTGAACGAACCTTTATGAAGGAACAAAAGATGTCTCTGCGACGCGAAATGGGTGAATTTGTTGATACGGAAGAGAGATATGTTATAAAAATATATGAGCTTGTTCATTCTACCGCGAATGAGTTTAGAGACCATGTTAAAAATCGCAAGTTTGAAAGCTCAAATCCTTCTGAAGATGACTTAGCAAGGTTGTTCCCAAAGTCACTTGATAGGATTCTTCAAATAAATACGGCCTTTTTAAATGCAATTCGTAAGGTCATGGATCAAACAGAGGAAGATGCAATGCAGGATCTTGAAGCTCCGGCCGTAAGCTCCTCTACATCTCGAGGTAGCGTTTCTGGGAGACTCAAAGATCCGACAGGTGCACTTGCGTTTGCTAGAATTCTTTTGGAGTGGCTTCCTCAATTTTCCGACTGCTATCAAGACTATATTAAAGCCAGTCAGAGTTTTCCGCAGATCATCACGTCATTTCTAAAACAGCATTCTAGTATATCTAGACGGGTACAGAAGACGGGAGAGCAGCAACTCCGGTCAGCAATTATCGAACCGGTTCAGAGGCTGCCTCGATACAGTCTTTTCATAGATAACATTATCAATTTTCTACCTGTTTCCCATCCCGCTCTTCAACCCATGCTTAAAGCTCGAGATATAGTCATATCTATATGCTCTTTAGACCCCCCTGAAGCGGATAAGTCTCAACTAGTAGCCCGACTACAAAATCTTGTCGAATCCTGGCCAACTTCACTGGCTCCCCAAGGCCGCCTCGTAGCAGCTGTAGACTTCCTTGAGTCTCCCACTACCCATAACAGTATTCCCACTTCGAATTATTTTGAAGGAATTTTTCTTCTTTTCACGGATCAAATAGTTTTTGTTAAAAAATTACCATCATGCAGTCTCTCTGCTCGCGGTATTTTGGCTGAAATTGATATGCTATCTAAATCTGCAATGTTAACGAATATTTCAACCTCTGGAGGTGTGCATCGAAAAGCATATGAAATTTCTTTTTCTAGCTCTTATAGTTTGGGAGAAATCCGCTTTACAACGTCGGATGATGGTCGTAGTATTACTATGATTTTGCTTCAGAATATAACAAATACTAAGATAGGAAAGGAGTGCTACCCGCTAGCTCCAGCAGCGCGGGTATTTATCCTTCAGGGAGGATATGAAGGCAAAGGCTTAAAATTGACTGAAGAAATTACAAAGGCTCGAATTGAAGGAAGATTTTCTGAAGTTGACAGGGAGTCAGATAAATGGTGCATGAGATCTACAAAATCGACTAGTGCTGATATAAATTTCCATTCAGCTATATTTGAGGATGGAATAGATACAATATCCGAGTCTCGTAGAGAACTAGCTCCTATTCGTATCTTAATTGACCACCAGAAAGGGAACAAAGAAGCCCTTATCGGACAGCGCGGTGTCGAAGTTATTGCAAAAATTTCAACCTCGACTAACGGGAAAAGTCACAGGCTAGAATTCTGTGGTCTAAATGAAAAAGTCTTTGTGGATGAATTTTCAGCCGAGAAATTTCTTTGTATCTTTTTAAAGCGTGTTGCTTTTTTTCTTCGATCTCAACACGACCCAAGTAACATATACCTCACTAGTACCCTAGTTTCTTCAAATATCGCGATTTTGAAATCTCTTCAGATTCAATGTGAAGGTGAAAAACAAAGATCATTTAAGTCCGGTTCCCCGGTGAAATTGTTATCGAGCTTCTTCAACGGCTCGACGACCTCCGCGTCTGTATCTAGGTATTCACGAAATTCGACCTATGGTAACTTGACATCTATAAATCGAAGTAATAGCAACAAGTCTATAAACACGGGACAAGATATTGATAATCGGGCTAGTACCCGATCTACTATGAATGAGGCACCAGAAAATTATTTCACTAGGTTAGAAGAGACCTTTGCAGCTTATGTAACCGCAATTTCCTCTCGTAGAGGCAATATTGTCGGACGAGCCTTGAGGAATCGTGCCATGGCAGATGAACTAGCTGTTAATGCCATATATAATACCTTTATAGAAAACCCACTTGACCAGCGCGCCGCCTCTGAGGCCACAGTTGATGTCCTTTTTATGGCATTTGAAAAGTACCTACGAATGGCATGGAAAGAAGAGATGGGAGATGTAATTTCCGTACAGAGTTTAGACGAAATGCAGTTGCAGGCTTTTCGCTTGGCTTCAGATGATTTTGCTGAGTACGTTCGACTGATACTGAGTGAAATGACCCCTCAGAATCGACGTGCCTTGATTGCTATCATGAAGCTTCTCGCAGAGCTCCTCGATGCCTGCAGTAATGATGGTGATCGAGGTGCCATGACTGCTGTATTCTCTGAGTTACTTGTTGTAGAAGGGGATCCCCACGACTACATAAATCTACTTGATAGGCTGGTTTCGGATCAGAAAAGGCTTTTTGAGACTATAGGGCCCGGTGGTATTGGTGGAGAATGTAATAAGTCTTTGCGTGGCTCAACTTATAGCACTCGAAATAACCCTTCTGCTACAGCCTCAATCGCATCCAATACCTCTTCGTTTCGGAAAAAGTTTGCAGATACACTACTTCGTCAAAATAGTGTAAGCGATCGAGCTTCAGTATGGCGAACGCTCAGCAAAAGTAACCGTAGTATAGCAACTGGCGAGCAAATTAACCAAAGTAGTCTTTCTAAAGCAGCACTAAGTCGTTCTCGATCAATAGAATCCCCGGCCCGCAGACAAGCATTGAAAGATCGGCCAACAGTGCTTGGCGCGTTTGAAGACCGCCCCCCAAGCTCACTAGAGTCAACTAAAATCTCCGCTCCTACCAATGAATTGTCAGCCCATGAGATAAACGTTACCAGATCAACCAAAAAAAAACGTCGCAGCTCCCTTTCAGACCTTAAAACACTTCTTTCTCAAGAAAATTTGGGCCCAGCTGTAAATTCCTCAGCTGCAGCTAAAATTTATAGGTCCAACAGAGAGAAACCCCATTCTTCACTTCGAACGCCATCTCCTACTAAAATCCCAATCTTATCTGGACCCATGGAAATCGCACGGCCTAATTCACACCGTATTGGCTCACCTGTTACTAAGGAAAAGTTAGTTTCTTCGTCAACTCATAAAAGTACCGGATGTGTGACAGAATATTCCCGAAATATAGCTTCACCACCACCAAACTCAACCTCAGATGTTGTCCTTATCAAGGACCTATGGATAACTCCTTCTCATAAAAAAACGATATCTACATCAACTACAAATATTCCTGTACTTCAAAGTCGCCCTCTCGCCACCTCGGTAACTATTTCTCGCCGCCCTATTGGTGTACATAGATCACCCCCTAAGCTACGTATTCAGTCACCCCAAAAGTTAAGAGAACGGCTTCAAACCGAAGCAAATGCTATAAAAAATGCCGAAGCAGATGTGCATTCTGAATTATCAAAAATTGGGTCAGAATTGTCCCAGCTTCATAGCAGAGATACTCCTTTATACCAATCAACTCTTCTATCTTCTCTCCAGTCTTCTCTCTCATCACTATCTGTTCGGTTTCCTTCTGTTATAGCCGATCTTACTGCTCGCCACGAGGTAGTAGCTGTTGATGTTGAACAGTCTTTGCAGGCGTTAGAGTCTAAGGTTGAGGGCTTGGACCGTTTGTATCACGAAGCAACTGCAGAAAATGAGCTACTATACGAACGATTTATTAGCGAGCTATCGAAAATTATCAAGTCTATGAAGGGAGGAATGGATATCGATATTTGTCACGGAACTGGAACAACAACATCGAAAAACGAAAGATGTGATAGTGGAGATTTGGTTGAAAAGTTACGCGACGCGATTGAAGAGACGGCTCGAATCAAAAAGGAAAACTTTCGCTTAAAGCGGGAAGTATTAAGTCTTCGAACTCTGCTGAAAGATAATGAACAAATCAAAGAGCATAGCCACTAAAAGGATTAGAGTGATATTCCTATAGTCCAGGAGTTGGGCGTTCAATACATGTTTTCAAGGAGTTTTGATGTTATGACGAATGAGCTGGGTTGGTGTTTTACGTTAATGACGTCTACGGTGCTCAAATGTCATTGCTTTTGAAATAGAACTATCCTGTTTTTCGTTTAGACCCTTCTTTTTTTTTAAATTACTCTAATTCATAGCTCATTGCTACAGCTTGTACAAAAAAGATCATGTCTGTGTAGTGCTTAAATTATTACCGAATCCTTTATTTTATTACAACAACCCCTTTCTTGTAGATGTAGGTCTATAATGACTTGAAACTCAGAACGGTGGTAAACCAATGCGATATATTGGATGTGATCATAACAAAACACAGATATTTGGACCAATTAGCCAAAAATTACTGTCGTGATATGCGAGCCCAGTGAGTACCCAAAGTCAGTCCATCACATCTCGAGGGAAAAGTTCATTGAGTAAGTGGTCGCAACAAATACCTTGAATTGGGCCTGATATCCGCGATAAGGTGACCCCTCTCTATCTACCCGTCATATCAGAATATTTCCTCTGCGTTGAGCTCAAGATGTAACAGCTCCTATCACCGAGGCTAATGAGATCCGGATGATATTTGAACTCCCGTCGAATCGGTTTCCCTCATTGGGCATAGTCCATGACTAGTTGAGACCCATCCAAAAAATCCTATTACTGACCTTTACCAGTGAAAAATTATTTATTATCCGCACGTACGGTCAAAATGAAGGGAAATGAAGAATACCGCAATGTGAGGGAAAAACTCCTCGTACTGGTCAAAGCGTGAATGCTTCTCTTTAATCATCAATTTCTCTATCTGGCTATTTTTTACATAACTAAGCCCGGCATTCATAAGACGTCATACGTACATGATTTTATAGAACGCCACAATTATAGCTAGATTAGAAAGATTCCTAGGTATTCAATGAGCCATATTCGTTAAATTTGTCCATCTCGCTTTCCTGTTTTCCGAAAATAGTCGGTGTTTACTCGAAGATTTCCATGGTGTTATACAATACTCGTACAAGTAGACGAGGTTACTAAATCTATTTTTTACATCTCCATGATAGTTTTTTGACTTTCTTCTAATTCAGTAGTTACCGTTGATTGAAATGGTTTCTTTGTTTCCTTCGAATCTAGATCCAATTCTTTTCGTAGGTTTGGTAAGAATCTATCAATTCTTTTCCAAGTCTCTGACCAGAGCTTATCTTTACGCTCATCTACAGCTTGATGAGGTAGTTCCAAAAAGTTACAATTACTCATAACAAGTATGATATTTTTTAGACTTTCTGGCACTGCTTCTTCCAGGCTGTCACCCTGGCCACTGTTCATGAGCCGATCCATTAGATCAAGAATTCGCAGCCATAGATCTAGCATTCCATCGTATTTGTATAGAAGGGCAAGGTAGTGAAGAAAAATACGGCAAAGAAGAGTAGCAGCTTGCACACGAGTCTCAGACATGCCTGTCGGATCGGAAGAATAGACTTCAGGTTTGAGAAGTCGGAAAATGAGGGGGAAAAGTACCTCACCAAAGATGGCAATCCATTCGTCTTGAGACTCAGAGTCATGTGTTAATTGAGGAGAAAGAAGTGTATGTTGAAGAGATGAAAAAGCTTGGTGTCTAATTTCCCGGCATGGATTAGTGCATTGTGTAGTAAGAGCGTTGAAAATCGGGGACCAATAAGCTGTCCAGGCTTTTCTGGGTTCAAGATGTGACTGCTGCATTAGTACTAGAATACGATCTGTAAGGGAGAATATCATGGTGATTGCTTTCACACCCCGTGATAAAGCAGCTTCAATTCTAGGAAGAGTTAGGTTTATTGAAAGATTAGGTATGGATACATACCGGACTTTGTCATGCTTTTTAGGGTTAGCTGGTATGGGGCCCCTTCTTGATTTTTTTTCTTGTTTCTGTTCGACAGCGGCGCCAATACTTCCTGCAGATGCAAAATCGTTCAATAAATTCACAGCTGATTCGTAGTTATCAGCCATTATTGAGGGAGGTGATCCAATTATTACACCTTCTAATATCTTGAACACAGTGGGAGCCGAGCTGGAGTTACCTGCCATGTTACGAAGAATAAACCAAAAGTCAGGGGAAGTCATGATTTCATTCCTAAGTGGCCCTGGCTCCTTGATACATAAATGTAGTCCTTGTAGTACAAGAGAGGTTGATTTTTCGAAATGGTCTTTTTTTAAACTAGCTATCAAATGAAGTACCACAGGTACACGAATAAAGTTAAGTTCATGACTTGTATGCAAGATATGGAGAAGGTAAAGAACTACTCTGGAAACTAGGATCCAGTGATAGCTTGAAGCATTCCGTAGAATGTTAAGCAATGCACTTGAAACATCAGAACCCAGAGCGATGAGCGTTTCTTCACTTTGGAGAGCTAGAGTTGTCGACATCTCAGATATATAGACTATCGAAGGATCATAAGCGAGACCACTATTGAAAGGTTTCTGGTAAACAGGTGCAACAGATTCTGCTTCAGACTTCACATTAAGCATTACCGCGCTAGGATCATCCGGTAACTTGTCGAGAAGTGCTTTAAGTAGTGGCTTTAGAGCTGTAACAGGTAATTTCCTAACAAAATCAGCATTTTTATTTTATGATGAATGAGGTGGTACTCACAAAATATTGAAAAACACATCATTCATGTGACAAGCATTTATACAATCAACTGTGCATAGAGTACTTTCCATTTCTTCGTCGGAGGGTTCTGGTGGATCATCTGCGGCGTAACTGGAAATATACGAGGTGAATACAGAAAAGAGACCAGTGTCACCTGTTTTTTGACCTCGATCGACCACCTGTAACGATGTCTGTAGAGGAATTGTAGATATTTCTATGCCATTCGGAACCCAAAAGGATGGCATAAGTGAATTGACAAAAAGATTGACCCAGATATCCACAACCTGAGATTATTAGTATATAATGAGCGTAGCTGGAATTGGCTACACATACATGCTTCCAGCTCTCACTAATTAAAGCTTCACCTCCGTTTAAAACTCGAAATAGGACAACTGTGGCAAGCTGTGCTTTGAAATCTCGCCCAAACCTGACAGAAAGTTCGCTAACCATAACACTACTCTCGCCAGCTTGGATTTCTGTGTTGAGAGCTGTGCTGGATGGAATTTCCGTGGCTAGCGTCGTAATATGGCTTAAACAATATATCACCTGATCTATAACTTCTATCAGGCCATATTTTATGGCTATTTGAGCACATTGGTCGAAGCCAGCAATAATCCTGGAGACTACAGTATCATCGCTGGCAGAAATAAAAACATATGAGAGAGTGGCGACAATAGGTCTCCAGGTAGCTTCGAACATATCCGCATCAAAAATATTAGTATCACAGACAATAAGTTTTCCAGCATTCTCAGTTTTAGATAGAAGCTCCCTCCAAGCGTAATCGAACGCGTGTTTGTTATCATGTTCATCTGGAAGGATAATTTCGTCGGCCTTGATAGAGTCGTAAACATCTTTTAAGTATTGAGGGTCAAAGTTTTTTCCTCCGTTGACACCCCGCAAATTATTAGAAAACTGGTCTAGAGTCATCCGCGCCGCAGCTTTGAGATTAGGGTTATACGAATCAGTATTGAGCATAAGGATGGCATATGTCAATACAAAGACAGCGTCACTGTTTGCAATTCCGTCTGATGTAGAGCCAGCACAGTAATGTTCAGAGAAAGATGTTATTATTCGCTCAATAAGTGCAGACTCTCCAGGTAATCGAAATCCCTCGAGCAATTCCCGCAGAGCTTCATCGACTCGCTTCCCTTTGAAATTGTATGTATCCATAAAAGCTTCAAGAACAGATTCATTTCCTTTCTTTGATAGGAATTCACCCGAAATTTTTTTGGACACACGGGCGGTTCCTTTCAAAAATGCTGCGACAGATTGTGAATCGTTTACATCTTTAATGATACCTTGTGATTGTAAAAATTCCAGACCAGCCCTTGGCTTCTCATTAAATTTGGATGCACCCTCAATGATTACTTTCTTTTTCTTTCGCTGTTCACGAAGAATATTTCTGTCGGGATACCCTTCAAACTGGGGTACATGATCAAGCCTTCTTGATATGAATTGGATATATCCTAACAATGCCTCAAGGCACAATGGTGGTACGCTTGATGTGCTCCACGTTGCAGAGTCTGGGAAAGAGTTGCGAGACAATAGTCCAACTAATTCTTCGCACAAGTCGCCTCGATCAATGTCACAGTCATAGTTGATAAAAAGTTCCACCATGTAGCTTGGAATTCGTACTAAAGCACCAATACTTTCGACCATGGCTTCTTTAGCGTCTGGTTTGCGTGATAAGCTTTCCATCCCAAGCTTTTGACGATCTTTTACCGGTAAAGGCGTTGATCTTTCACTTTTGCCTTGTAATGTAGTATGCTTGAAGGTTTTTGGAGCCCAAGAAACCCCAGCAAATAAGGATGGGTCTATGCCGGATTCTGACGGTATTTCAGTGCGAGGATGCAAACATGCTACTAAATGCGATAAGAATAGCTCTTGTTGCAATTTCAACATACCTCTGCATGTTGCAAGAAGCGTTCCTGAAATGATAAGTGATTCATTCATTATAGCAATATTATCTGATCTGACAAGTTGAAATAAGTATCGGCAAAGACGATCTCTAGCTAAGGTTGCGAGAGGGGGATGTTTAGCAATAGAAGGACCTGCAACCTCAAGAACGACATCAATAATTCGCAGGGCCATTACTCTCATAGTATCAGTGTGTTGGCGATCATGGGGATCGAGTAAATCGACCAAGACTCGAAATATCTCTCTAATGGATGGTAAGGAATAAGGCTTGATGGGAGGATCGTCTGGCATCTCTGATAATAATTCAGGATCTAAATCGGTGGTAGACCCTGCACGCCCAAGAACACCCGACTCATATCTGCTTTTCTCGGGGCTTTTTGGTGACCGATTACCAGTTATACTTGTCGCAAAATTTGTGATTGCTTCTTTGGATACTGCTGCTTCCGTATTTACACCATCTATGTGTCCCGCTGTTTTTTCATCTGAGACTCGTGAAGCATCACCAGGTGTTACTTCCAAGTATTTTAGGCGCTCAAAAATTATTTGAGTCATTTTAATGATGGATATCTCTGCTGATCTGCGAAGTAGTTCAGATAGCTTTGACTGACAACACATACTGAGTCCTGTACCGATCATCTCACACACGCTTTCATCACTGAGTAAGTCTCCGCCTGGGCCTGACAAGATACCTTCCATAAGTTTCAGTATTCGTAATAATACGATCTCATCTGCTGCGGAATCACTAGCCTCAAATCTACAGTGAGTAATAGCATCAGATAATAATCGCATAGCTTGTGCTAATCTAGGTGACTCTGGACCAATGAAATTGTATGCGAAAAACTTTGTTATCGCGATCAAAGCCAGGGATGTGATCGGGGCAGAAGTAGCGGAAGCTTGGATAACTTGGAGAAAGGGGTCAAGCAATGAGGGTGCGTCGAATCTATGAATGTCTATTGTATGAGTAAGCTCTATTTTCTAAGATTGTTGAGAGATAGCGTTACCTTTACATCCAGTAAGTTGACGCCTCAATCGCCCAAATCCTGCCATTAACGGGTTATCCTGCGTGCTTCGCCCTTTTTTTCCGCGCAATCCCCATCTATTTGCTAATTCTCTTTCATCATTTTCGCTTGCTAGATCTGGTGATTGAACCTTGGGCTTCCGACTCCCATATGTATCTCGCGGTGTTCTATTTCGAGAATTAGGGCTTAATGGTCTTGCACCTGCACCTAAGATCGCTGACACTGATGAATGAGCCCATCGAGTGTGCTTTCGCATCGCTGAGGTGACAGTGATACATTCAGTAGTTATCAGTACCACAGGGTCAACTGCTACTGATACATTGATGTTATTTATAAATTCCATATTTATAAACTATTTTATTTGGTATCCCAATGGTTTGTTTTATCTGATAGGTCGATGACAGTCAAATTGAATGTGGAAGGTATGATTCCGGAAATAGAGTTAATATATCGAAGTTGCTGAGGAAATTAAAAGCTTCGGCAATTAGCCAGCCTACTCAGCAACGGCTTTGAAATGTATATGGTGTTCGCATCCTTGTCCGAAAAAAATCCAATTAATTGAAGGATCATGAGGCTGTAATATTCTTTCGGTGTTGTGATTGCCTACTATTAATGATTTCTACCCTTGACTTAGGATACAGATGCGAGGTGTTCATATGCAATGTCACGTGAATAAAGGGCCGAATTAGTCTCAGATACGGTCTGGTTTCAAAGGAAAATACCCCGTAAATAGCCGCAGAAAAGTCTCAGACCTATTCGATTGCGGCTTCGCTTTACATGGACCTAGAAATGAAATGATTGTATTTAGTTGATTTGATTTGACTAACAAGATATGGCGCCCTATGGGCTCATACAGGCGACTATAGACCTATCTATATATTTACATAAGGAAACCATTACGATTGAAACTTCCTCCCCTTGTTAACTTTTTACATCTCTGTTGTCATTCGTTACCTACAGTAAGTGCAACTGGCCTCAAATCCGAGTTAGGATTAGCTAAAATCATAATAACCTATTGTAATTTTAGGCTAATTATCACGATATTGAATAAATTGACCCAAGAGAGTGTGTATGTGTTTTAATTGTTCTAATGAGTCTATGACTATCTAAGGTCATGTAAGTCCTTTCTGCCTACAGGCCAGAAATATCTATCCCTCGAGTAGTGTACTCCCCCCTATGCCTCCTTCACGAATTCTTTCCAGTAGTAATATCCCCACAGGTCTTCGTTCGAGTACACACTCAGAGGAGCCATCATCCCGTCATCATCTCACCTCTCCAGCCAACGAAACGATGGCCATTTGCGGGTGTTTAGCTGCAGGGAAAAGTCTCAAAAACCACTGGGTGCGGGGCTCACCTGTGAAGAAGAGACCGGCCTGCCGGGCGCAGTAGACCTGTGTATACCTAAGAGCGTCCCTCCACCTTCCTAGCTTCCTCCTCACTGATCCCCTGATTCATGCTGCATTACAAACCGAAGGTCGTGAAAGGATTTCAGAAAAGTCTTGGTCGAGAGTGACTGTCGTGAAGGAGTCTAGCCTAGAATCCAATAGTTGTTACGGAAGTGGGGATGTCGAGTATATCGCGGAGTCTGGATGTCCTCATGGCTAGAATTGTCGAGAGTATATATGTAAAGATACAAGATTGTTGATGAGCTGAAATCTGCTTTTCTTGAAGAAGGGGCTTTTACTTTACATTCGTGGACTTTTTATTTGCTCGACAGTGGGTAGCATATGCTAGGAGATAACTAGAGCTTCTCTGACTACTATTGTAGCATTTGGTACCGCATTATCTTTCCTCATTCCTAGCATCATTATCGTCGTATTGATTGTCATATGAGTTATCGGAAGTATATCTGTGAGGGAGGAGGAGATTGCTTAGCCCAAAGATGAAAATTTGTTAATAAATCTCGGATCTGCGGATTCTGCAGTGAGAGCTGGAGTTTCGTATGGGTCACCGCTGACAAGTATTGAGGATAGTCCCGCGCAGTATAAATTTGGAATTGGTAGTGATTGTGAGAGTACTTTCAAGATGTATGTAGTACCCAAATAGACTTCTCGTTGATGAGAGGAATAAACTCAACCTTGTCAGAGAGATCTCCATCTTAATCTAATCTGCCGAACATCTTTCAAACAACAAAGAAGATATGAGCACTGTACTAGTTTCGGCCTGAGTCAGAGAGAAGCCCGATGTCCTAGGTTGTCTTCGACTCAATGCAATAAAAAAATACTGTTGAAATTATGGAGTACAGAGATAAGTCAGGTGATGGTTAATGAAACTAATTGATGAAGGGTTTTTTTTTTTAATTTTATTTTTATTATAATAAAGTCCTAAGCTAAAGCTCTAGGTCCACTATCGGTACAAGACTGGTGGAGCCGGCGGGGATCACTGCTTACAGGCCCAACTCATTCCAACCGCGTGACCCGCTACAGAAAAAGTAGCAGGTAAATTATAACTCAGAAACTGTAATCAAAAACTAAAATCAAAACTAAAAGCCAAAGACTGAAAACAAATTTATAAGATTTTTCATGTGGTCCGTATCCCACGCTTCTCGCCCGTTCCCTTTCCTACCACATCTTCCAAATGACAAATTTACTCAATCTCCGCTGAGAGCAAGAGATGAGATAGCAGGCACTTTTTATCCAGCCGGTATCCTGCTATTGGTTAGTATATGCCCCAAAAGGTACATCGTCGAGGTTGCTGTGTCCTCAAACTTCTTCAAATTCCAGAACTCCGAAACCTGTAGCCTCGGCCATCGAGACGTCCTTTGCAGCGGCGGTGATTGCCTCTTCGGCCTTCTTTGCTGTTGCTCGTGCTCGTGCCACCTTCGCGAACTCCCCTTGTTCGATGTGGCGGATCCACGCGAGCTGCTCTTTGGTCACCGGTCCAGACTTTCAGGGTCTGACTTTGCAGTCCCGAGAATCCGATCAGTGGGGTCCCCCACAGTTGCAACACTTTGTGAGGGCCTTGCACTCGGCTTCCGAGTGCATGTTTGATCCGCAGTTCCAGCACGCTGGGGCGCGGGAGCAACCACCAGTGGCGTGGAAGCCCAAACAGCGTTTGCACTGTTCAATTTGGCGACGAGGCTGGATCTTTGTAGCCGCTCCGGACTCGTCGAGAATTCGGAAGCCCGCACGAGGGGCGGAGTCCCGGTTGAAAAGGGCATACCAGTTTCTGTATGGCGCTCCAGGACGACATGTCCCGTGCGGTCGCACCTGGCATGAACATCGTTGTGTTTTGCGGTATATCTCCAGTGAGATCCTACCGACATCGACCGTCTCAATACGGTTGATTAATTTTTTAGTCGCTGGACATTCGCGATCCGAAAGGCGACAAGGTTGGAGGCTTCCTCGATTTTGGCATTGAAGTCCGACAACTTCGGTGAGGCATCTAAGAGCTCTTCCCTTTCATTTTCATCCGCTGTCAAAATCGCAAATCCGGTTCTGACACGGTGTATAGAGCTTTTTTCACTCAAGGTGTAGAGTAGCCTACTACATAATTGATGCCTTATGCCGTCAGGCGAAAGCTGGCGCCATGTGTGATAGCTCTCTAAGCGAAGGAACAGTCGTTTGTCGAATTTAGCCTTCGGAGCTTCTTTATTTTGGGCTTTTGCCGCAGGTCGCGGAACAGCCTTAACAGTAGGGTCTGCTTTTTGTGACAGTCCGTTTCTGGCCACCGTGGCCCAGGTGCTTTTTATAGGCAGCGCTGGGACGGCGGAAATCGTTGTGCTCCTGACGTCGGGAGCCCTTGGGATCGGGTTCGCCGGGCGAGGAGGGAGGACGGGTGGCGTGGAGGCCGGGCCCGCGGCCATGTATTGCGCGATGGCTGCGCGTAGGTAGACTCTCATCGAGTCTACAAATTGTCTGTTTGACCTGTTGGTCAAAGGAAGAAGGGTGACTTCGACGCCAGAGATGGCGGCGGAGCAAAGGGCCAGATTTGCCGCTGTTTCAGCGGCACGTCGTTGCTCGGCTTCGATAATGGGTCGAAGTTCCGGAGGGCAATCTGCTTTCGTGGCAGCTTTGGGCTGCGACGTTGATTTTGACGCTGCTTTGGGTGCAGCGTTCTCCGGCAGTTTTGGCGCGGTCGGGGGAGATTTTGACGATTCTCCAATCCCGTGGGGGACGGAGGATGGTTGAGGAATTTCCTCAATAATTTCGACTGACCCGATCATGTCAGTATCGGGCTCAGTGACGGTGGGGAGGGCTTTTTCCTTCCCTTTCATTGAGACCTTGCTTATCTCCGCGCATTTCGGAGACTGGACAAGGCCAGATAATTGATCGAGAGCCCTCGGGCGGACTCTCGTGTTGTCCAACGTGGCGTTGGGACGCTTTTTACGAACAGGTGGCATGGTTAAAATGCCAGCGACTCGATGAAAATTTATCGAAGGAATGCGACGAGCGCGAGAGGGAGGGAGAGGGGGAAAGGGTGAATTTTCGAAAATTCGAATTTCAAAAAATTGTGTGTTTGTTTGTAATTTGAAGGTCCTAAGCTACTGCCCCCGGTCCGCTATGAGTACAGGACCGATGTTCACAGCCAGAACTACATCTAAGACATACCCAGCTTGATTCCACCGCATGAACCACCACAAAACCAGCAGTAAGTTAAAAATATGCGCCGACGCGAACTCCTTTTCCCAAAATTGACAAAAGAAAAATATAAATTGGCAAAAGTTAGAAGGGAAGCAATACTCCTCGCCTCGATTCCCATTTTGGCAGGTTTAGTTTCCTGACGAGTGATATTCGATCTCCACTGAGAGTAGGAGATGGATGCACAGGAGAATACCCAAAACAATTGGTATCCTGCGCAAATTGTTTGAAGCTCTCGAAGCACTTAGGCCCGAGTAGCTTGTGTAAGAAGGCATTGTGTGACAATGGCCCTCTCATTCGACGCGTGATATTTGCGTTGAGTCGACAATGTATGAAGTGGGTAGGGGTGGTTTCCTCCCCACAGATGCACTCTGTAATAGCGTGCGGATTGTTGAAGCGACGATGGTACGCCGCGAAATTGCCGTGGCCCGTACGGGCTGCAATGAGATGTCGTTACTGTAGTCTGGAAAGCCCCAGTTCTGGTGGTTTGCGACGGCGCATAAGCAGATCTAGCTCACGATACTGTGACGGGCAAATTTCATTCCACCAGCTGTCGAGCAAAGTCTGTCGCTGTCAATGCAATTTTTGGTGTAAAAATACTGTCGTGGTGGTTGCTGGCTCAGTTTCCACGCTGGGAAGCGTTCGTAGGGCGGATTTGGCCGCTGCGTCTGCTTCCTCATTTCCATGTATTCCCGAGTGCTCTGGTACCCACTTTATTCTTACCTGAGCTAGCCCAGATAATTCGCGAAACTTTCGTATTTAT